CTGTTATAGTTTTTATTGTTTTTAGCTTTTGCTAAACTCTGAAGGACTTTGGTCGTGTTAATCAAACTCTCTTGAGTTATAACAGCTTATTTCTGGCAATTTTCTTAATTTATATCCAAACAAAACAACACACATTAAATACATGTATAATGTGGAAGTATAAAGTATGAAAAGTTCAGCTTTCCTACCTCCCATGCTGTTGCGGTCGTGGCTCAGCCTCCAGTCAGAACTCAGGARCTGCTGCTCCAACTCCAGGTGGTTGAACAGGTGGATCTGAGCGGGGCGGAGCCTGCTAAAGCGTGACGTCACTGATAATCACGCTGCCTCGCCTCACGGTATTTGAGAGAAAATGTATAATAAAACATAAAAAAAACCTCATAGAAGGGACTTGTTGGTCCTGTTTTTCCTCAGCTGAAGACGTGCTGCTGCCTGGCAGAAGGTGGAAACAAAACAGACAAACTGGATCAGCGGTTAAAAAAAAGTTTTACTGAAATAACCGGTTTAACCATTTCAAAGTAAATGTATATAGATGAGTGAGCGTTAAACACGCATCATGAAGGCATTAATAACTGGGTCATGATTTCCTCAAAAGCTGGAAAATCAACATGTGCTTCARTTTCATGCAACACCGCAGCTGTGAAAAATTATAACAATATAATAAACAATAGAATAGCTAACAAGTAGTCTACTATAATTTCAGGAAGTCATTAAGAATATACTAGACTGTGCAAATATTTTAAGCATGATTGGTGAGTAAAACTGTTTTTTCCTGTGTCTGTTAGCAAAATATCTCATGAACCACTGGGCCGATTTTAACAAAACTTGCAGGAATTAACCATTTGATTTACACCTACAATTGATTAACTTTTTGAGTCAACACGCTTCAAGGTGGCTGTTCCAGGCTAACTGAACTTTAAAACACAAAAATGACCATACCTTGATCAGTTTTACAGATAAGAAGCTAAGGTTTGGTGTGGTATTTGCTGAGACTAAACATTAGCAAATGTGATGAGTGCTAATAGATTGCTTTGGGCGTTTTTTATTTGTTTTTAACATTTGTTTTAGCTGTTAGAGTTGACCTTGATTGTCTGTTAGCAAAATATCTCATGAACCACTTGATGGATTTGAATGAAACTTTTGGAAATAATCACTGGGTTATACAAATACAAACTTTTATCTTTTGGACTTGATCTAACTTAATATGACTGCTACAGCTAATCTGGATTAGCCAACACAAAAATTGATTAATCTCAGTCAGTTTTACAGATTTTGTGCTAAGATTTAAGACGGTCATAGCAGGGAGTAATATTCAAAACATGCATGCACAAGATTGTGCATAATATCTTTAAGGTGCTCCCAAAGTAGCTATAATGTTGTCATTTCCCAACATAGCATGATTTTAGTCTAAAACTTTGGGAAGAAAGGCGGCAGGTGATTTGCAAGATGCAGGCGATAAAAGGGAGATATAGTAAAAGCAAAGATGGCGTATGATGAGTTGCATGAGGTATGCATTTGAAAAAAGAGGATTGAAAGTCAACTGTTGAAAGACAGTTCAGGTGAAAGAGAGGGAGGCAGTTTTAGGGAAGACGTAGAGAGAACATGGAGGGATGAGGAGAGAAGATGCAGAGGACAGAGTGAGATGGACAAGGAGGACTCCTGAAGAGGGAACAGCCAAAAGAAGAAAAATAAGCTACACTTTAAAGTAATTGCTCACAGCATATTTAAAGCCAAACAGCTATTTAAAAAGTTAACATGAGTATTAATAACATTTGTATAGTTTTGAGGGTAAATTTATTCTGTTTAACACCGATGCTTGTTTTTCATTACGATGTCTGAACTGAGGTACTTTTTTTATTCAAATGTGTGATTATATATTTCTTATGTACTGTGATTAAGCTCTGATTAAATAGAAGTGTGTGCTCAGTTCTGAGTGACTCGTGATATGGGTCACAGGCTGTACCTTTTAAGGGACAGATTAGTTAAAACAGGACTTGAACACAACAGACAAACAGTTATTTAATCAGATGTCAGAACTTGTGTTYATACTTGGCAGGAAGGGCCTTCCATATCAGAGACGTCTTTTGCCTCAGAAGAGGTGGTTTCGTCAGAAGATTGTGTAAAAGAGCTATAAGAACTGAATTCAGCTCAGTATTTGGCCTTATTCATTTGTAATTAAACGTTCAAGTCTGAAATCGGACTCTTTTTTTCCCCCATTACCTATAAAAAACACAGTTTTCTTACTGTTATGGTGATGTTTATTTAGCAAAGACAGAAATACGTGGTCCAAGAATGAAGGTACTCCGTGGGATGATCAGCTGAGTTTTATTGCAACAACAGGAAACACAGAGAAACACCTGGCCTGTCTCTGTGCCTCTGCTTCTCTCTGTCACTGTCTCTCCACACTACCGTTGAATATTGTCTCGAGAGGCCTCATATATATATTAATAAACACCATAATGCCATCTTAGCAAGATTTGATACAAGGTCAATGGAAAACACAAAGATAAACACAAGTGATATCTAAGAACGACTGTTGTTAGCARATCTTGTTCTGACKTTAATCATTCTRTCTGCAGATGAACAGCATGTCATGMAAACCTARRTCATTAAAGGATGTCATGAATTACTTGCTTAAACATAAAAGGATTAGTTCTATTACACTTACAATTTAATCATTGATTGTATGGACACACGCATGTAATGTACAAAATRAAACCAGATCTGAAGCAGCATTCACCAGGATTTGTTCAATCCAATTACTGCAGAGCTTTAACCGTTTAAGAGCTCAGGTGCCCTGAAAACAAAGGGCAAAWGCTCTTACAAGTCGAATCAGGTTTTTAATCAGTGAAACAAACCCTGCCTGCTAAAACACTCTGAAAGAGTCGCATATTCTGCATGTTTTTATTTTCTTTTTTCCATTATAGTGATCAGTCAAACTTATCTGCAGGCTTTATGTTAACTTGGTGCGCATAAACACAGCAAGTATTGTAGTTTTTGTTGCAGAGATGATAAGGTAACACAAAGGTAATAATCGCACCTTAACATGTTGAAGTTCCAAAGCAGAGGTTCTTCAAACTGCGGTCCCAGGACCCCCAGGGGTCGGCAAGCTGTGTGGCATGGGGGTCCTCAAACAATTGCAATAAATTCCTAAATTTGTCATTTCATTTYACAAAATGCAAATACGGGGAACTATGCACTAGTAAAAATCAACCAAAAAATGTATTATCCCCATGGCATGAAAGAATTAAAGGGTMATTTTTAAATCAGCATGAGGTTTATGAGGAAGKATGTATGTTTCTCTCCTGTAAGCGGACCCCAGACCAAAAAAGTATGAGAACATATTTGATCCATGTATCAATCAACAATATTTAAATAATTCACTTTTATGATTTATCAGAACTTAACACTTTGAGGGTGGACAAAAAAAAGAGTGATGTGACTAAAAAAACAGACAAAAATGTGACAAAAATGCAACAAGACAGTTAAATATGACAAGTCAACAACTCTAAACCAAAGYTTGACAACATGTCCAGACAGCCATATAGCCGGAGCTGATGTAACTTTATGTCTGTACAAATAGGATCATCTCACTCTGTTGCTGCACAGCAGCAGTCTCCTGTAAGACAAGAATAAACCATCTGTTAAACCATTTGACTTATTTTCTTCTTAAATAAATAAATACACTCACCAAGTTTTAGAGTTGATGACTTGAGGTCAGAGGTCATAAAGGGAGCGAGTCCTTACAATTTAAAGGAACTATCATCAGCAGTGTGGTCATGTGGTTTCCAGCTCAGCCGAAACAAATCCTTTCCCACAGCAGGTTAATGAACGCAACGAGCACAAAAACATCATCTAACCTCACGCACATCCTGAGCTTCAGAGGCCGACATTCYCGCGACATCGCAAACTGAAGGTGGAACGACATAACCAATTCATCCTAAAGATAAMGATGTCATTGCAAAGTCTGAAATCAAACACAAAAAGCTTATCCTGAGCTACAACAAATGGTGCAGTAGTTTTCCAGATTTAATCATATGCAAGTCTGAAATGCAGGTACACACTCAGTGTAAACAAAGCRCTCAGTTGAAGCTGCTGAAAACCATGCAGAAGCTTATTCTATTTCTTTAACACAAATGATTAAATGATCTTTAACTACTTGACCATGATCACAAATAAGTATACAGGACAAAGATTTGTACTTTGTGAGTCTTTATTTATCTTATACTCATTTACAAAATCACAYACAGATGGACTGTAAAGACATTTTTACAAAACCTTAACACARTTGCAATTAGTCACTCACTTCTCACTGATTTTCTGTTCAGAAATCTACTTCAATTTACTCACGGTACAGTACAAAGCAGTGCAAAAATACTCAAAGTAAAAAAATATAAAAGTATTTTCTTTCAATTTTTTTTGTATTTGGAAAAAAGTTGAAGAAAGTGTCAATAATGCTGATTAGAATACACATAAAATGAAGCACGTTGGCTGTGATTTTACCTGAAGCTGTTTTGTTGCTAAAAAAGTCTTATTTTAAAATGTTGAATTAATCAAAATCCCTGAGCAGCACTGATTAGTTTTTTTTTTTTTTTTTTAGGAAAGAGGCAAATAGAGACGCTGCAGACACCAGGGAGCAATGCAGATTTTTCTGTTCATTTTTTCTGTTTTTGGCCCATTTAAAGCTTTGAGTGGTTTTCCCGGAAGCACCGACCTTCAGGAACGAAGGCGTGGTTTGACAGCAGCTGAAGTCAAAGGTCTCGCTCTCGAGTCAGTCGGTGTGGGATCGTTTGACACTTCAACAACGATGAAACCTGAGCAGCTCCTTGTGTTTTAACAATCGCCGCTGACGTCCTTTATCTTCTCTTCGTGCAGAAAGGTGACGGAAAATTAGTCCAGGCTCAAATGTCTGCAAAGTTCACCTTTAGACAAGAACTGCCGTGCAGTTCTGAACTCGTGGGGCAGTTTTTTTCTTAAGCAGAGAGGTGTGGAAAAATAAAAAGTCTTCATCAGATCTTTTCCACGTAGTTACCGGGAAAGAGACCTTCTTTTCCTCGAATCCTGCCCGTCCACCAGCCCGATGGATCTGCAGAGAAAAACATAAATAAACAGTCATCAACCCAAAATATTATTCCTATTTTCATCTCCACTCCATGCGCAACATCGTTTGCTTTCGTCCGCGCACCTTCTCTGACGAGATCGAACACGTCGTTGGCCTCGAAGCTGATCTCGTCGGTGTCCTGGCCGACGTACTGATACAAGGCCCG